TGGGCTCCGGGGCGCCTCTTCCCGGCGTGGGGGGAGCGGGGGGCGGGCGGCCCCGCCAGGGTGACCGCGGAAGACAAGCAGGGCCGGTCCATACCCGCAGCCCCGCATCTGATGCCTCTGGAGCTTCGCTGAGTCAGGCGGGGCGGGAGCCCGGCGTCCCCCCGACCTTCCCGGGCATTGGCTCAGGAGCAGGTGGGCAGCGCTGGGCCAGGCCGGGGACCGGGATAAATGCCCGGTCACAGCCCCAGCCCGGCCACAGCGGGCACGGCGGTGGGAAGATGCGCCCCGGGGTGCGGCTGCTCTGCTGCCTGCTCCTTCCTCTGCTCCAGCGGGGTAAGGGCAGCCTGGGCCTGCAGCTGCCGAGGCTGCTGGTGCGCGGGGCGGAACGGGGGTGGCAGCCGGAGGGGGCTGCATGGAGGCACTCGGGGGTCAGGCACAGGGTTTGGCCAGGCAACGAGTCCCCATAGGGTCCCTGGCCTGTTTCTCCCCTCCGTCCCAACGTGTCTATGCTGGGTGGCAGCTCCCCTGGCCCCTCCCGGTCTCCTCTCGGAGGATGCTCTGGGCAGGGTTTGCCACGCACTTCCCTGCCCACGGGGTCAGTGTTTGCTCAGAAGCTGCCCTGCCCCGGTTGCAAAGGCCGAGGCAGAGCCAGGACCCTCCTGCTCCCCTTCCCTCCCCTCGGCCCGGTCACCTCTGCTGTGCTCAGCTTGGCCAGGGAGGAGGAGGGATCTCCAGTGTGCTGTGACCACCCTGGCTTGTGCCCCACAGCTAGCTGGGCACTGAGGCTGTCCGTGGCTGTGGAGCCCTGGTACCCCATGTGTCCTTGCTGCAGGGCGTGGGGACGCTGAGTATGGGGACCTCGAGGACGAAGGTAAGACCCTGGTGCCATTGTCCAAGTGTGGCTCTGGCCCCGGCTGCAGCAGCTTCGCCATGGCCGTGGGCTCTGCTGCTGGTGGAGACGGTATCCACACCCCTGGGGGACGGGGCCCTGCCCTTACGTGGGCCCGCAGGTCCTGCCAGCACCAATAGCACCGTCTGTCCTTCCAGGTCACTACCTGTACCTGGATGAGGATGGTGAGTAGAGCTGCCATCCTGGCTGTCCTCCCCATCCACCCAGAGACCTCAGTGGGCCCTGTGTGGTCTGTGCTGGGGCTTACAAGAGCTCAGGTCCCGGCTTGGCTGAGCCCATGGGGCCCCTGCGGCCACAGGCAGCCCCAGCATGGAGACCCCCAAGGTCATGTGTTGAACTCCCACATGGCAAACGGGGTGCCTGGCCCACGCTGGGGAGAGCTGGGAGTGTTCCCCAGGGGTGACCCCAAACAGCCCCCCTGAAACCAGGCTCGGGGGGGAGAGCTAGGGGTGGGGTGGCATCCCAGGGTCTGGCCGGTGCTCTGCAGGACCACTGGAGGTGCTGGGGGGGCCGGGCCGCTGCCAGGACACCTACCAGGACTGGATCTCCCTCTACTGCTGGGCCCCCTTCCACGCTGCCCTCATGGCCACCCCCGAGGGCAGCCGCTGCTGCTGGGACCAGATCAGCAGGTGGGCCGGCATCAGCCCCAGCGGTGCCAAATGCATGCTCGGAGCGGGGCCTTTGTGGGGCCACCGTGGTGCACGTGTCCCCGTCCCAGCAGGCCGGCCTCATGCCATCCCCTCCACAGCACCTACAGCGAGCTCTCCAGCTGCACCCAGCTGCTAGCCCAGCTGCTCTCCTGCCCCTGGCCCAGCGCCGTCCTCGACGCCTTCTTCCTGCAGGTCCACGCCGAATACTTCACCAACTGCACCGGGGCCGGGCCCCCCAGGCTAGGAGGGCTGCCCCCCAGGATGGCTGTGGCTGTGGCCATGGGGCTCAGCTGCCTTGTGCCCCTTGCAGCCGCCTTGACGCTCACCAGAGCCCGGAAAGGGGCTCAAACCCCAGCAGGCAGCTGCCCAGCCCCTGCCTGCCTCTGTGCCTGCGAGGGGCTGGCAACAGCCCCCTTCCCTCCCAGCCCTGGGAACTAATGAGCAGGACGAGTGGGCCAAGGATGAGGGGGACAGGGCAGAGCAGGTAGGGGAGTCTGGGCATCCCTGGGGATGGAGCGGGTCCCGTGGCACTGGGGGAGGCTGGGCCCGGGGCTCCAGATGCCTGCATCTGCCCCAGGGCAGGGAACTTTGGGAGAAGGGTCCCAGGTGCTGCTGGGGTCCTTACCCTGCATGGGCCAAGCCCCTTCCTTGGCACCCCTGGGTGGGGGCTGGCAGGGAGCACCGGGGATGCCGGGGTGGGGGGGGGGGCGGGAGCCCCAAGTCTTGGCTGGCAGCCACTGTCTCATCCCTGCCTGTCCTGTCCCTGCCCGTTCCCTCTGGATGCCCCAGGAGGGGGGCGGCCATCCCAGGCCCAGGGCCGTGCTGAGATCATTGGGTGTCTCCCTGGCAGAGGCTGCTGCCGCCTGGCTGGAGGCTCCAGTGGCTACAACAAAGAGCGGGACCAGGGGCTCCAACCCTTCTGCCCCCAGGGTGCTATGGCCTGATGGTTTCCAGATGCGGTCACTCGCCCGCGAAAGGTCCCACAGTGCCCTGGAGCAGTGGCTGCCGCTGCCTGGGGAGGGTCGGGCGGTTCTGCCAGGACGTTTGCCGGGGAGCACGAAGCCCAGCGAGATCGTCTTTCTGCAGTAGGGAGGCTCCCTCTGAGCTGCACTTCATCATGCTCCGATTCATGCTCTGCGCGTCCCGCGGGCGGGCTGTTAAAGGGGCAGCTTTGGGCTCATGCTCTGCCCCAGGCCAGAGGTGAAATGAGCTCAACCAGCCTCAGCCTGGTCCTCAGGTGGGAATGCTGCAGACCCATAGGGCTGGGCTCGTCCTCGGTGGCGCTGCTCTGCAGGGGGATGCAGGCCCCGCAGGCGGGAGCTGCGCCAGGACCGAGGGGCTCCAGCAGAGCCGGGCAGGCACCGGGCTGGGCGGTGCGGGAGGAAGCCATCGGGGTGGAGGACTGGCAACGTCAGCCAAGTCTCTGCCCTCTCCCCATCTCCCCGCCTGCGTCGGCCTCGCACCCGTGGGCAGGTCGCACCACCGCCCTTCCCTTCCCGGCTGCAGGCAGGGGCCAGGGGGCTGCTCTGGCGATGCCCGCCATGGGGCAGGTGGCCCGGTGAGCCAGAAGCCGTGGCGATGGGACCATGGGTCCCTCTGCCGCCCCAGCGCCTGGGCGGCAGCGCCTGTCCGGGGACATTATGCTTCCCCCGTCCACTCCCCCCCGGCTGTCGGGCTGCCTGCCCTCCACGCAGGAGACGAGGGATTTCACAACCCAGCCCAGACAGGATTAAAGAGAAATACACAAGTAAACAAATAGCGGCCTCGTAAAACTGGACGTGCTGCGCGGGGAGCAGAGCCTCTGGGCCGCTGGGTGAGGCGCGGGCTGCCCGGGTGCCGGGGCACGGGAGCGATGCCCACGGGGGCCGGCACCGCGCCGCACGGCGGTGGGGTCTCGCCGGGAGAGCCGCTTTAAAGCAGAGCTGAGCAATCTCATTTTTCACACGTCTCCTGTAGTCAAACTGCCCCTGTCAGAGGAAAGGAGTTGCTTCCTGTTATTTCCATTGAAATACTTGTCCCGGTCGTTAGCCGGCAGGCTTTTGCAGGATGGCACCGTGCGCGCAGATGGGCTCCGGCCGCCTCTCCCGAGGGCTCCTGCTGCTCTGGGGTAAGTGCGTGGGGGGCGGCCCCGGGGCCACCGGTGGCGGGAGGCTCCGCGCCTCGCACCACCCCGCACGCGGCCGCCCTCCCGCGCGTGGGGCCCGGGGCCGGGGTCTTGGCTCAGCCCGGCCCAGCGCCCACCCCGGCACGGGGCCAGCCGGGCAGAGCCGAGGGTGGCCGTCGTCTGCGTGGCCGGGGGCCGGTGGCAGGCAGGCAACGGGCGCTGCGGGGCATCCCCCACCACGCTCGTCCCCAATCTTTTTGCAAATGACCCACAAGAGAGTGGCTGGGGAGCCCTGCGAAGCCCCGGGCCGGGAGCCATGGCACCACACGTGCCCGTGCGGAGAGGGGCTGGACGGGGCCGTCGGGGACAGAGACCGGGACAGGGCGGGCTGCCCTCGCTGCAGCCACCGTGCCAGCCTGGGAGCACCCCGCAGCCAGTGCCCGGCCATGCCGGAGCTCCCCACAAGTGGCCCAGGCAGAGCCCACCGGTGCGGTTCACCACATGACCGGCATCGCTGCCCCACGCCATGGGCCCTCAGCTGAGGGCAGAAGATGGACAGGGCGGTTTCCTCAGGCCGTGGGGCTCCAGTGGGCCAGGCGGGACGTGCCCCACGGCCATGGTGGGCTGTGCTGGGTGTGGGGCGGATGGCAGGCAGAGGGGCTCTCTGGCAGTGCTGTGCTGTGGCCAGCGCTTCCTCTTCCTGCCCCAGCCCCGTCCGGCTGCAATGCAGCTGCCTGGGGCGATGGGGCGGCCCCCGCGCTGGCTCCCCATGGGTGGGGAGCACTGCTCGCCCCTATGCTGTGGCCCACGGCCCAGGGCCCAGAGGCCCTAGACAGCCCCTCCAAGCTGTTGGGCAGCTGCCCGCAGCCTGGCCCCATCCCCACAGCCCCTGCCTGTAAGGGGGCTGAACACCCTGGCCCCAGGTGCGTGCTGGGCTCTGGACAGCACATTTCCCTGTGCCCTGACCACCGTCTCCAGTGGCCCCCGAGGGACACCTGAAACCAGTTCCCTCCTGCAGACCCAGCCTCTGTCGGGGCAGCTCCCGTGCATGGAGCCCTGCCAGCGCCCGTCCCCCGCTGACCCTGTCCCCTCCCCTCCGCAGCGCTCCTGGGGACCGGGCTCTGCCACACAGGCACTGAGGTGGAGGGCTTTGGCCAGGATGCCAGGACGAGCCCACCCGTGGCCGTGTTCAACTGGACGGCCCAGCTTGTTGGTGAGTGCCGGGGCTTGGTGAGGGCTGGGCAGCACTGCGGGGCCAACGGTGCCCTAGCCGGGGCCAACGGTGCCCTAGCCGGGGCCGGCTGTGCACCACAGGGTGACCCCCCCTTTCCCCTGGCCGCGTGATCTCTGTCCATCCCCAAAATAGCCAGCCTGTGCCATGGAGCCCTCCCTGGCATTGGCCACAGTGGGGGCAGCCAGCAGCAGCCTGCCCTCCTGCCATGCTCCCGGGCATCGCCCCGGGGCTGCTGCGGGATGCAGCCCCACACCGTGCCCATGTCTTCCGTGCTGGCCTGGGCGCGAGTCCGGGTGCTGGGTGTCACCTGCCAGCAGCCGTGGGCAGGGACGGGCTCTAGTGGGGGCGTGCTGCCCACGCTCAGCACCTTTCCCCTGCAGAAGAGACGTACACCAACATCACGCAGAAGTGCTGGGAGTTCTTCGTCGACCTGATGAAGAATGTGACAGTGTCGGAGCTGTGCGAGTGGAAAGTCATCAGCAGGTACAGGGCGGTGGGATGGCTGGAGAGCCCTCCTGGGCAGCACTGCAGGGGTGCAGGGGGGGCAAGGGGCTCTGACCAGCTCCGGGGATGTCCCCAGCTGGGGAAGCCACACATGGAGACCCTTTGGTGGGGGAATTACCTGTGGCCGCTCCGTCCCCAGGTCCACACAAGTGGAGCGGCTCCCGAGGCAGCGGAAAGTGTTCGGTTGGGGCAGAGCCCCCGGGCCGTGTCGACGGGCCACCAGCTCCTGGCCTGAGGGACCCAGGGCCACCTTCCCCTCCAGCAACTCCTGCCTGCGCAGGGCTGGCTGGCGCAGGCAGCGGAGCGCAGGGCAAGCCCCGGGCAGTCCGGAGGGATGCTGCTGGGCCAGGGCAGGGGGCTCGGGGGCACCTGGGGGGGGTCTGTGCCTCTGGTGTCCCGCAGCCACCCCGTGCCCCCGCACATCCCCATTCTCTCCCAGCACCCCGCGGCTCTCTTCCCAGGCCCTACAGCTTCCTGCAGACCTGCCTGGAGACCTGGGCTGACCACCTGCACTACGGCTACCCCAACGCGCTGGCAGAGCGGTACATCTTCCAGAGCCACCACCGCTACTTCCACAACTGCACCCTGGAGCACCAGGTCTACTTCGACCCACCTGAGGACGTGCTGCTGGCCATGATCATCGCCCCCATCTGCCTCATCCCCTTCCTGGTCACCCTGGTCATCTGGCGCAGCAAGGACGGCAAAGCCCAGCCCTAGCGCTGATGCCCGGGCACCCGCGGCCACCCCCCTCTGCTGCCTGCGGCGGGCAGAAAGCGGGCAGCGGTAGCCCTGCAGGTCCTCCGCCCGGGCGCTGCCCCACGCTTCCCCCCCCCCCCCGCCCCGGCCTGCGGGGCCACCGGTCGCTTCAGCAGCCCCGGGGGGGGGTCCCGGGGTTACCGGCACACGCTGCCGGGGCGGCCGGTTCTCGCTGTGCCGCCGGCGGCGCCTCCCCCCCCCGTCCCCCGCTCCACCGCCGGCCCCGCGGCTGGGGATTAAACGCTTCTTCCCCCACGCGTGGCGCTGGTTCTTCCGCCGCTCGTTCCCGCCGCGGCCCCCCGGGCCCGCTCCTGCCGCCAGCACCGACCCGGCACGGCCTCGCCGGCAGCTTCTCGCCGCGGGGCGGCAGCGGGCAGCGCTGGGCGCGGACGGAGCCCGCATCCCTCCGCGGGGAAC